CACAGAGCGCACACGCTCACACACATAGTGCACGCGCACACACAGCACACACAGCGCACACACATAGTGCACGCGCACACAGAGCGCACACGCTCACACACATAGTGCACGCGCACACACAGCGCACACGCTCACACACATAGTGCACGCGCACACACAGCGCACACGCTCACACACATAGGGCACGCTCACACACATAGGGCACGCTCAAGGTTTTCGCCTGTCGGACTCCCTCGTACGTTTAACTGATAAATCGTTCTGCTTTTACCGGATCCGTGGCAGGGTGACGCCTCGGTCACCTGACCTGTGTACGTTTTTGTTGCAAACGAAGCAATTCCTCGAACCGACTAATCTAGAAGTGGGATCCGGTAAACAGGATCTAGACTTCCCCCCAAGTCCGCTACCTCGGGCGGCACGAGTTCTCTTTTTGTACTAAGTGGCGTGCACGGCCCAGCGAGTCAGCGACACGGGGTCAGTCTACCGGCAGTTGTCATTAGTACGGGCCGGCCGGGGGCGCCGTCAACAGGTCGCGTACGTGCGACAGATAGAGAAAATTAGAGGAGTCCCCGTCTCTCTCTCTCTCTCTCTCTCTCTCTCTCTCTCTCTCTCTCTCTCTCTCTCTCTCTCTCTCTCTTTCTCTCTCTTTCTTTCGCGCTCTCTCTCTCTTTCTCTTTCTCTCTCTCTCTCTCTCGTTCTGTGTGTGTATGCGTATTCGGTGTGCGTGCGTGCGCGGGTGTGCGTGGCTTCGAGGGGCCCCACACCCGGCTATATTCTGCGGCGATAGTTGCCTATAGTTTATGCCTGCACGATCCGCGTTATATTTTCTATAGTTCTTTAGATTTTCTAAAGTTGTACTTGCCTTTGCATTTTACCGCTATACCTCAATCGCCACAGCGATCCATTGCGGCCCAGAACCCCTACGGCCGGCATCACTGTTCTGCGATTATTCTATGATCAGGGTGTATACGCTCGATATCACTATTCTATGTATATCGTGCTATAAACTACGCTCCACTCAGCCATATTGTATGTATGCAATTAGCTCCGATGTACCGTGCGTGTGCCCGATGCCGTTGCGTGCGTTGCATGCGCGTGCGTGTGTGCGCGATGCAGGAACTTGCGATATATCTGTGTGCTGTGCATATATATACTTGCGTGTCCGTGTGCATGTTGATGCATTCGACCCTCGGCTGGGTGTGCGTTTGTGTCGGCCTGGTGTGCGTGCCTGCGTCGCGCGCGGTCGGTCGTGGCTGCCCGCGCGTCATGTGTGCTGTCACGGTGCAAAGTGCGTCCGCGTGGTGTCTCCTTGTATGCAGATGTTCGCGATGTTGCAAAAATCTGGCCTACATGGTTCATCACCCAGATAGCAGTCCTGCTTGCAGATACTCTACCAGCGTTCCGGAGACTATTGATTTGCCAGCCGAGATCGCACAAATCCATGATAACTATAATGTAATCGAGCCGATACCAAACAGTTATATCCAAATACGGCACGTGCCATTTATGAGCTATCGATCTAACACGATATCAATATCCTAGCTGTGTGTCGCCCCAACAACCACAGCCCATCGGCGCGGCGCCACAGGTGGGGGCCGGCAGGGGTCAATGCATTTCAGTCATCTTTC